TCAGAGAGTTCTTTGCCATGAGGTGCCATGTTGAACTTCCAGTGACCAGTATGAGAGAGTGAGAGCGATAACACCAACTTTAACACACCTGCTCCCCATTCACACCTGAGACCTTGTAACACTAATGAGTCACATGACAATGGGGAGAGAAAATGGCTAATTGGGCCCAATTTGGACATTTTCACTTAGGGGTGTACTCACTTTTGTGGCCAGCGGTTTAGACATTAATGGCTGTGTGTTGAGTTATTTTGAGGGGACAGCAAATTTACACTGTTATACAAGCTGTACACTCACTACTTTACATTGTAGCAAAGTGTCATTTCTTCAGTGTTGTCACATGAAAAGATATAATAACATATTTACAAAAATGTGAGGGGTGTACTCACTTCTGTGAGATACTGTATAAGGTTTTTTTTTATAATAAATTGTATATGAAAAAAAATGGGGGAAAAACATAGATATGTTATGTATTTTCACTCTGCATCATTTGAGTGTGTGTGTGTGTGTGTGTGTGTGGTCTTTATGGTCAGCTATTCTCTCGTCTCACAGGAAGTATGGTGCACCATTAGCTAAATGAGCTGCCATTAGCGCCGTCCCATGATTCAGCTGGATGCGTCTCATTGTTTCTGCACCCACTGAGTTCATGTCCAGATCAACAACCGAACACACACAGAACGAGCTCCACGTCCATCAGTCTGACACACGTTCCGTTCACTTTAGAAGTGTCTTGTTTGCAGCATTCTCTTTGTTTTTATCTCAGGTCCAACATGTCCATTTTTTTCTCTTGATTTTGTTGCAACTAAAACATAAAGAAAATGACAATGGGTTTTTGGGATGATTTTAAGTGTGTTTGCTTTGTGACAGTATTTTTATGACATCATTTGACATAATTACTTGTTTTTTATCAAACAAAAAACCTATAATTGTGTTTAAATACCAGGTTTATTGTCATTAAGTAAAACTAAAACCGTATCAAAACATTATCTGAAATATTAACATATAATAACGTGATAAATAACATAGAAAAATAATATAGTATAATAACATATATATATATATATATATATATAACTTATTTTATTTCAACTAGTTGCCAAAGCATATTTTTTATTTAATTTAATTTGAATTAAAGTAACTAAAACTGAAATAAAATTTAATAAGAGCTATACAGACATTGAATAATAACAACAACAACAATAATAATAATGACAAAAATCACACAACAAAAGTATAAAAATTTTAACTTGGTTAAAAAGAAAACAGAAAATATAAAAATGAAATCTAAAATGCACTACAAATTATAAAATATAAAAATATAAAAATAAAAATTGAAAATGTCAATAAAAACTATAATAGTTTATCAATGCTATTAGAGTAACACTAATAAATTATTTACATTTTATGTAATTTAGAGTAGTTTTTTTTTTTTTTTTTGAGAATTTGTGTAAAATCTGCAACAAAAAAAAAGCACAAAAAAATGTAT